ATCCCATGGCCCGGGAATATGAGGTCGTCGACGGCAGTGAGGAGAAAGATGGCTTGGATTTTCGTGATGCGCCCGTATCAACCCGCAAGCATACCCGCATCCTAGATGCATGCAAGCGGAGAGACATCGACGATCTTCAGGCCTTAGCCATATCGAGGGGTGGATTCCTCACCGACGCCATCCGTTGCCAAGCATGTGAGTGTCCCGCGCGTCGCGCCTCGTCTATCCATCCCACTCACTCCCGTTGAATCGGGATCATGAGGCTCAAGGTTCTTCAACAGGGCCGATATTGCTAGGCGTTCACATCGACCAGCGTGGGGACCAGGAGGAATGCTCCGATCCGTGGGAAAAGCTGGAACAACATCGAGACGAAGGCCAGGTCAAGCTGGACGTTGACCGGAGCTTCGTTTATTACCCAAACGGTACGGGATGCATACCCCCCACAAGGACCCCCACTCCCTACATAGTAAGTAAAGCTAACCACAGTGTCTAGACGATACCCAGGCGCAGCTCGACGAGAAGAAGTCACAGCTCTCAGACCTTATCACCGAGGTCCTCCGACGGCACCCGTACCTCTGCTATTTCCAAGGCTATCACGACATATGTCAAGTCTTTCTACTGGTTCTCCCACCAACCACGCGGGCCGCAGCCGTTGCCCGCCTATCCGCCCTACGCATTAGAGACTTCATGCTACCAAGCCTGAACCCGTCTGTTGCGCAACTACGGCTGATTCCAGACATCCTTAGGGCAGCTGACCCAGCGCTGTGTGCTCATGTGTCACGAACAGAACCCTTTTTCGCGTTGTCAGATACGTTGACTATGTTTGCGCACAACGTGCGACGGTACAGCGATATTGCACGCCTATTCGATGCCCTGCTAGCTCGCGAGCAGGCTTTTACGCTTTACGTCTTCGCGCAGATCGTCCTGCGCCGCCGGGACGAGCTTTTCCAGCAAGACGAGTCTGACATGCTACACTTTACCCTCTCAAAACTTCCCGACGACCTGGATCTCGACGCCATTATTACCGATGCCGCCACCCTGTTTGATCGCCATCCCCCAGAATCTCTGCGTAGCTGGCGCTCCGTCTCAGGCGCCAGCACTCTAAAGACTGCACGTGACGTAAGTATATGTGCGTCGCAGACCCTCGAAGACGGACATAAATACTTCGAGAAACAGTGCCGCGAGCTCCAATGGGCGCAGCGGCAGAAAGAACTACTCCAGGCCGCGTGGGCCAACAAAACCTTGATCTTAGCCGTAGTTATCGGCGCCGGCGCCGTGTACTTCCGGAAAGCACCTATATGGTCGAGTCTCACCTCGTGGTCGATCCCGAGCCATTATTTCTAGGATACTAGGATGGTCGGACGACGACGGTACGTGAGTTGTTCCCAGATTTTACGCGTTATTTTGAGGGGTTACATAAAAAGGTGTATGGATGCAGCTTGATGAGTCCTAGAATTGTATGCAAGCTGGACTAAAGGATTGGGTTAATGTTGAGGTATGTGCTGCGACTCGCAGCTTGGGATGGATGATGATATTGGCAGATAGGTACACGTACACTATATTGGGTAACCCGTCTACACTGGAGACATTGCGAGTCGTCTTCGGGGGCGAGGTGGATGGGTGAAAAAAATGGCACGGTGGCACAAAAGCACATTCAATTCAATAGAACAAGCAAGCTACATCAGGTAGGTATTCTTCGAAGTTAAATAAACAGCTAGCTAGCTAGCCATCCCTTCGAAACGCAGTCTCATTTAATCGTATCGTCTGTTAGTTTTCTTGCCATACATATTTGTACTTGATAGTGATAGTAGTTAATCTATCATCCAGAACCGATCCCTAACTAAATTTCTCTCGCAAGTTCATGTCATGCAGCTTCTTGAAAAGCCGTCTTCAGCCCCTCGAAGTGCTCCTGCTCTTCATCTGCCAATTTGCCCTGGGTATCGCTGATAATCGTCAGAATCAGACTATAATTATTATACAGGAAGCGCTCCCTTTTTCTCTTATCGCTACCGAACGCCGCGCTGTACTTGGTTAGGAAGGCCTCCATCTCGCTACGTAGTCTGCGTAAGCTTGTGACTACGGGCTCGTCGTCTCCGGCCTCGGTGCTTAATGCTAGGATACCGTGGAGCAGCTGTCCAAAACGCTGAGTACAGACGTGCGGAGCAGCGGAAAGCTTGCTCTGCTCGGCTTTGGATGTCGGGGGGCGCGTGGGCAATGCTGTGGTGAGAGCGCGGACAGACTCGCAATGCGCATTCATGATGGCCTGGAGGCGCGGCCATAGCAGCATGGCCGTGCCGTTGAGGTACCCGTCTGCGGCGGGGACCTTGCGACGCTGCAGCTCGAATTGGAAGTGCTGGTTCAGGCGGACGGCGAGGAGGACGCCAATAGCGTCGTACGTGTCGCCCACGAGGGACTTGGTCAGCGTCTGGCCGAGCTGGAACGTCGGCTCAAATATGTAAGTAAAGTGGCGCGAGATGGTAGAATAGTTCAGAGCAGGAGAGAAGAACGACGCGAGAAATGTGTACTCGGCCGTTGCGTTGTCGATCAGGGCGAGATTGAAGTTCCGGAAGGGGGCTTCGAGGTAGTGGGTGGATTGGTCTTCTTCAGCTAGGTATGAGGAGAGCGCACTTTGGTTATGAGTACGTAAGAGGTCGATCCGTCGACCTAAGTTGAAAGCATCGTGGGGCGGCCCGGAAATTTTCGAACTTGAAAGAACGGTGCCTTTCCTAGAAGTATCCTCGTTCCCCAAGACATCCGTCTTATCCAAGGAGTGTAGCTTGATTTTTCGGAGGGCGTTCTCGTAGCGTGTAAACTGGTTGGCGTAGTACCACCGCATAGTATTCATATACGCCTGGCCTATTTCGTCGGCCAGCGCGGCATGATGTTTATGGAGGAAGGAGTATAGGTCTCTAAATTTGAGGAAATTCTGTTGTTGGATGACTTGCGCGTTGATATGTGGTGATCGGAGGGCCTTGATTTGGGCGACGAGGAAATCTCTTATTCGTTCGGTAGCTTTGAGCACCAGCTTCTCTAATAAAGGACTGAGATCTTGCAGACCCTTAGCACCCTGCGCACTCGCGACGTTCTTCTTATGGGCGGTGGCTCTCTTGTCAATCTCCGCAACTACCTTTACCCAACCTTCGTCGATATGGCCCTCGGCAATCTTGGATACTACCGTAGGCGATACACTGATCTCCTCAACCACCGGCCCTAGCCCCTTCTCTACTGCCTTTCGGTTTTCCAACCGCACATTAAGGGCTGTAGATCGTGCTTGTAACGTTTCAATATCCGCAGACACAGTCGCAAGGTCATTTCGAAAGCTTGTCAGGTTGGTCTCTACCGAGCTGAGTACCTCGTCGCAGGCTCGTATTGATCGGTGTAGTTCTTCGAACTTGGCCTTGTCTCGGTCATCTAGTAAGTAGAATAGTGAGTAGGGCGAGAGTGGAGTCTGGAATAAAAAGGGGGCATACACTCTTCAGCCGCCTGCGGTCTATATATAGAAACAGAATTTACTGCTGCTTCCTCTGATAATGCTAGCTCTCGAATAGATAAACCGCCAAAATCGAATTCCAACTGAAGGTCTTCGGGTGATATCGAGCTGACCGAGCTGACCGAGTTGGCCGCTGACTTGGTAGCTGATGTTCCATGCTGCCTATCGTCACCCAAGAGCGCGTTTAATACATCTACAGGATCGGGCCCATTATATATCGTACTCGATTCCTTCAATGTCGAGCCATTGGCTCTTCGTGAAGATGCCAATAGGGAAGAAGCTGAGGATTCGGTGGATGCTAGCGACAACGACGAGGATCTAGGGGTGAGGCCGGGTCGCTGCTGAGATGTAATGTACGGACCTAGTCCACTCGGTGTTCGACGAGGCGCAGGAGAGTACGAGCGGCTGCCGGGCTGGGAGGGAGCAGGAGAAGATGACTGACCGGCAAGCCGATCGAGCCACATATTCTAGATACGAATGGGAGATGGGCTATGAGTCGGGCCGCGTCATGACTCTCTATTAGCTGTAGGCCACGCCGTCAAGCTAATAAGGCAAATAGAATCCGACTAGAAGGAGATAATTGCAAAAGGAAAGGAGCGTCAGGAACAGAAGATGTATATTAACTATTCGCGATAATGCATCAGCCAGGAAGTTAAAAGTTAATCGTTGGTGAGCACCCAAGAAACAACAGACGAGGCCGTGCAACAGCCTCTCCCGAGTCGCAGAATGAAAGTTGATGATTGGTTGAAGCTTTAGACACATGTCATTGTGAAGTATCGATACCATATCGGGTTTAGATTAGCATTAACTATGCGATTCTACATAAGGCTAAGTTATCTTTAAGCCACGGACTTGATAAGATTCAAAAGCGGGTCAATCTTTTTACATTGGACTCATCAATGATCAGTGCCAAGGAACGGAAAGTATACAGATTATGTACTTGCAGAGCTAGGTCAGATGCGTAGGAATGTACAATACCTTAGGTAGTATCGGCATTCCAAAGTGACGACCTACCAAAAAGTATTAGTAGCAATCATAATTTTACAAAAACGGAAATGATTCTTGCTTCCTCATTCCTTATACAGGTGTATAGACACAGAGAAAAGTCTAATGTTTGCATGTTGGCTATGATGTACACTATCATGCAACTTAGAGATTACCTAGAGACTTTTTGCCCCTCCAAGTATTTACAGTTCATTTACAGTTGATTTGCAGTTGCGAGAGAGGGGCATTCACCGAAAAGAAAAAGAAAAAGAAAACTTTAACTCACTAAAGTTATGTATAAGGAGCACTGTGGTCAGGCTGGTGGTGCCCTGTGAATAGACAAAGTTAGTGATTGATTTGTGCGAACCTGGCCGCCTAGACTGGCCTAGGCTGCCTGAAAACCCACAAAACCCTCCCCGCCAAAGTGCTCGAAGGGAAAAAAATAGATAAAAGATGCTGGAGCTGCTTGGATTACTGGGGCTAATTCCCAAACACCGACCCAGCAAGCCAATCAGATACCGCGCAAACTGTGTGCCCAATTGATTCTAAGAAAAAAAAAATCCCGTCTTTTTGCCCTTGACGGTTTCCTCCACTCTACTTTTTTTCCACCCCCTCCCTCTACATCTTTCAAATCTTCCCAATCCTCCCCTTCTACAAAAAAAAAAAGTCCACCAACTCATATTTCAGTCTTGGACATTTAGCTGGGCCATTTGTGCATCTTCCCTTCTCTTCTACTCTAACGACACTTTCACTTCGGTCAATCCTTCAAAATGGCGGACGAGGTACGTTCAAGAAACACCCTGTCCCTCTTTTTTTTTTTTTTCCTTTTGGCGATCGCAAAGGCGGGAGATGGCGGGCTGGTACCTAACCACCCCGCATCCGCATCACCACGCATTAAAGCATCTGGCACGCATCGCCAATGAACCCCGCGATGCTAGATGCGGCTATCGTTGTTGCACACATAGGATTTCATCCAGCTACGATTCGCGACTGCGATCTTAAGTACCAGATCATAGCGTAATACTGACAATATTTCTTACAGTTCGAGATCGACAACCAGGGTGATGCCGGTGCGTCTGCCACTTTCCCCATGCAGTGCTCTGCTCTGCGCAAGAACGGTGCCGTCGTCATCAAGGGCCGCCCCTGCAAGATCGTAGACATGTCGACCTCCAAGACCGGAAAGCACGGCCACGCCAAGGTCCATCTCGTCGGTATCGATATCTTCACCGGCAAGAAGCTCGAAGAACTTTGCCCTTCTACCCACAACATGGAGGTTCCCGTTGTCAAGACCAAGCAGTACAACTTCGTGAGTACACGCATTTCCTGCGCAGTACACACTTTGGAGGCCAGATTACGCTAACCAACAATAATCAATAGTCCCACGTTGAGGATGGCTTCATTGTTCTCCACGACATCAACACCAGCGAGGAGCGAAGCGACATCAAGGTCCCCGAGGGTGAGATTGGTAACAAGATCGAGGCTGCCGATGAGAACGGAACTCCTCTCAGTAAGTCATGGGCTACTCGTCGGGTTGGCCGCAAAATAACAAATAACTAACTTTATTATTTAGTCATTACCATTCAGTCCGCCATGGGCGAAGAGGCCGCCATCAAGGCCGACGAGCCTGCCCAGAAGGACTAAATCCCCAGTTAGGGGACTTAGGACTCAGGTAGAGGATGTCACTGGATCGAGTGTTACTTATGAGCCTCGACCAACTTGGACATCACCAGAAGGGAGGGCTGTTTAACTAGCAAACCAGTAGCTAGGTTCGTATTGGACGCTGGCCCACGGGGTTTTGCGTACGAATGTGCTATCCACTGTGGAGGAATCAAACATATGGTACGATAGTCCTCGAACTTCGCATCTATCCCAATCTCTTTGAGGAACAAAAATGATGTGCATTTTGAGGATTTCAGCAAAACAGGTCTCCTGTTTTTATTAGCACTTGACTTGTCCTACAGAATCTACGAGATCTCCCTTTATTTTTTTGTATATGGTGACAATCAATGATCATATTTACGTGACTTGAGAGCAAAAGCTATTTGGTTCTAACTTACTGGTATGTGAATTATATATTGATGCGATTTTGTATCTGCATATAACATGGTCGGTATCAATATTCCACAATCTGAAGGCCATCTTAAATAAGATGAGTCGAATCTTCGCCTCACTGGACCTACAGCTAGGTTTATCTAACTACCTAGGTAACTATGTAAAGTCTATGACAAGGCGTGAAATAGTGAACTTAAACGACCTAGGAAATATTCAGGGGCTAGCGAAGAAGTGGATTTATTGACTACCGTAATGCCTCTAGGTAGAATTGTAATTTGAATGTGCCTAAGTTACCTAACTGTTTAGTAGGTACTAAACAGTAAATAGAGGTAGACAGTGAGGTAACCTGAGAAATATTACTAGAAAGATAAGTATATAAAGTATATATGTAGACGCACCGTTAGGTAATGCGCATCATCACTATAAATCTTATATCAAAATAATATTATTTCTCTTAAGCACCCCCACTATTGCTTTTTCGCCTTCTACCTTCTTTTCAGCAGATAGCAGGTAATCAACATATCGGGATGGCACCCACCAAGTACCATCGCTTCCGTGGCGGCGAACGGTGCGACGAATGCGGCGCGCGACAATGGTATGCGCAAGATGCGATTCGGTATTGCCGAAATGGGCACCGTCTTGAAGGGTTTGCGGAACACGAAGGTGACGAGGATGCCTTTGGCACCCAGGGAAAGGTCTCGCGGAAGAAAAAAGAGCCTAAGAAAAAGATCGCCGTCAAACTCGCCGGCGACGAGGGGAGAGAATTATACCTCGAGGTCTTACAGCTTATACTGATGAGGCAGGTCTGGTGGCTCGTCCGGGAGAAAGGCTTTCCCGAGGATTTCGTGGAGATCGTGAGGGCACTCTGGGCGCTGAGAGTACGAAACCTACCATTGATGGAGAGCGGAGGGGGGACCCGTAAGCGGAAAGGAGACATTAGCGAAGAATCGGACGGCTACGCCTCGAGCGCGCCGTTATTTAGCTCCCAGGGCGAAGGGACGGGAGCCGAGTCGTCGGATTTCGATCTCTCGGATGCTACAACGGCTACTTGGGCCCCAGATGCCGGTAGGCGATGGAAATTGCCGAAGCTCATCGACACCTTGGCGCTGTGCTACTTGGGGTGTTTGGTGCGACGGCTGCCAGCTACGACGGCAGATTTCTGCGGCTGGGCGCAAAGGGGGGAGTTGGATTTTCTTGCATCGGTATGATATCTACCTAACCCAGCAGCCCTCACATACATCTGTAGATCATGCTGGAGTGCTGATATAGCTAATTACCTACCTACTTAAGTTCAATAATATTCCACGCAATGTCCGAGATCGTCTTCCCGCGGAATACCACCGTGCCTTGCAAGTTAGGGATCATATCCCAACGGGTCGACTGCAGACAGCCGTGCAAGAGCTCGTGATATCATTCAAGGTCAACTTCGATACTATCTTCCCGCCATTAAACTATCCACCCATACTTGTGCGACTCATAACAGAGTTAACTCTTCCAGGTAAGCATAACGAGGTATGCTGTAAGTAGAAGTGCTCTAGCTAATCCGACTCAGTCGAAGTATACCTCGTAGTAAAATGTATTACAGAGATTTTAAAGATGGATTACTCTTATCCCATCGGAGGAAAGAAGATTCGGACGATGGACAACCCGGAAGTACTACTAGTCGCTTTGGTTGTCGTGTCGGCGAAATTGCTTTATCCATTAGATGGCGTTAAACGACTTCCCCGAAGCCACCACGATCCTCGAAGTAGGACTATGGATTGGGGAAAGTGGCAAGAAAGTATGCAAAACGATACGGTGGAAACATCATCTACATTATTACGAGGAGAAGAATATCAAGTTACCCCTGAGGACGCCCTTACCATGGAAAAGGGGAAGATGGACGACTTCATGGACTGGTTTGAGAGGATGTGGATAGGAGATGGTGAACCAAGAAGTATGCAACACCATTCTTTATTATCGTCGATTTGGCAATATTAACTAACCCCTTTTCTAGCGGCTGAAAGGGTTCGAGAGCCTTTCCAAGGACAAAAACGACTATCACAACCAAGCAGCTTAAACGAACAACAACTAGGAAATAGGGAGAGAGAAAAAATAAGAAAGAGATATGAAGCTTTGAACAGCTCTATGGAAATGCTCGAGCCAGTTCCTGTTGATCCCGAAGACTGGAACAAGAAGCAGTCTCAAGATTTCTGTCCGGTCTGGCGCACACCAGAAGAGCTCCCGGACGCGGCTAAAGCTTTCTATAGCAAGGCAGCGGATATTTCGTATATACCGTTACATGCGTTGGTCAGAGGTGCTACGCAAGTGGAAAGGCAGCTGGAGATTTGGTGTATTCAGAGAGCTAAACAACGAGATAAGGGGAAGGGCAAAGCGGTTTGGACTGGCGATGACTCTGATTAGAAGCATTTTTAATATTTAACTCTATGAATAACTCCTGATGTTACATATGAGGTAGGTATATTAAAACTAACAAATCAATAAATCGTTTATCATATTGTTCAGTTACCCTAATAATCCTAGGTAAGCCGTAAAATGTGTTAGTATTGAACTTGTAGAGAGCTTTGTAGCACAGTGCGTTACTTCAAATATTTGTAATCGCGAACAGAGCTAAAGGTGGGGTCAAGTATCCACCAGCTGGCCCCGGCTGACATAAATTTCTGACACACAACGCCGCTTCTCTGAAAGAATTAAAATCAGGTGACTTTCAATCCACTAGGGTTCGTTTGCTGTGGAATTTCAAACCCCCACCGAATTTCCCAGGCCGACATCATCTTGGAATTCTCCCTCAACATCTTCATTCACGACAGGCAGCAAAAAGTAAGTCAACACCCCCTCTACGGTGTTTTGAATTAGCTCATACTAACTGAAATGCGTCTATAGTGCAGATGTAAGTTCATTTCCAGATTAAAATACAATGCGCGCACCACAGATTTCCGACCGACCGATCGACCAAACATTTTCGAACATGCGAACTGACGAGAAAATAGCTTCGTGAAGACCCTGACGGGCAAGACTATCACCCTCGAGGTGGAGTCTTCCGACACCATCGACAATGTCAAGTCCAAGATTCAGGACAAGGAGGGCATTCCCCCCGACCAACAGCGCCTGATCTTCGCCGGCAAGCAGCTCGAGGACGGCCGAACCCTCTCCGACTACAACATCCAGAAGGAGTCTACCCTCCACTTGGTCCTCCGTCTACGTGGTGGCATCATTGAGCCCTCGCTCAAGGCCCTCGCCTCCAAGTTCAACTGCGACAAGATGATCTGCCGCAAGTGCTACGTGAGTTCTTCCAGTCTACGAGTCTATCCTCCGATACCTAGCACTTCCTAATACTAATATTAAAAAAACTAGGCCCGTCTCCCTCCCCGTGCCACCAACTGCCGCAAGCGCAAGTGCGGCCACACCAACCAGCTTCGACCCAAGAAGAAGCTCAAGTAAACGATTCGTCACCACATGTTCCATCTCTTCGGCGTCTTTGGTTTGGGGTGTTATCATGAGCACGCTACGGACGGGTGGATAGATATTATCGACACCACTGCGATGGGATTTTTTTATTCTGCGGAAATAGCTATGCGTAGGCTAGTTTCGGTGGCAATCAAGTTGCGATGCACATGAGTAAACTGAACGCACATGCAGACCGGTGAATTGTTTTGGTGATGAATATGCCGCATAGGGAATATTCCTTTTTAGTTTGTAAAAGCATGGTATGGTTCTTCGTAGTGTGGTGCTTTTGCTATTTAATGCCTTGCCTCTCAACTTGCAAACAATTTGCCCACACATCATGGGGTTGCTAGAGCTATCGCAAACTATTATCTTTCTGTATGTTCTTTTAGGACAATCTTCCAAGATGCTATGCAACAATTTCGTTTGAGGGCTGTAGTAACTAGTTGTAAAGGCATTAAGAAATTCCTATGCGTAACTCTAGATACAATTCAATATAGGTACGTTCAATGTAAGCATTTATAGACGAACATAGGTACCTAGGTACATGCAGGTACATGACGGTACTTAGATACTTCTCTCTTAGTTAAGATCGTTCCGTCCAATGAAACGTCATCGTTGGAGCTTTGCACCTTGTAAATTAAACGCGGCTAAAGATCGGGCGTGCTTCCGTGTCCTCAAACGGCACCGCAGCTTCACCTTTAAGTCATCGTCTTTCGCAAATAACCGAACCGGTTTGAGATCATTCCATCCTATAGGTATCGACTAGACGTAAGAGAAGATATTCAAGATGGCGAACGCAGGCTACGACGCCGTTGTGGATATTGACGATGAGGTATGCTTGACCGACAACTAACTAATCACTCTTTTACACTGGGGAGCTTTGATATGTGGCATGGCATGGCATGGAATGGATTTAATGCTTGCGCTTGAATTGAGCAGCCAGCCAGTCAGCCAACATACTACCTAAGCTACCTCATATCTATACTATACTATATCAGTCTACAAGTACAAGAAACTAACACCAACCCCCAGGGCGACCTAGGCCACACCGACCTCCAAGAAGACCTCGAATTCCACAACTCAAACTTCTCCTCGTCGCAGCCTCTGCGCGGCAAAGGAGGCGCCCCCCCTCTTTCCACCTCCTCTGCCCCCGGCCTCCTCCCGCCCCCCGCGACAGCCGGCTCCGGGTCGTCGTCCTCGAAGCGGTACCTGTGGACGCTGTCCTTCTACGCGCAGTTCTTCGACGTGGACACGTCGAGCGTGCTGGCGCGGTGCTGGGCCGCGCTCTACCCGCGCGCCAACTTCCTCGACGTGCTGGAGGGCAATCCGGACCTGTACGGGCCGTTCTGGATCGCGACGACGGTGGTGCTGATTTTGTTCTTGGGGGGCACGATTAGTGCGTATTTGGCTAGCGAGGGGAAGGGCGCGTTTGCGTATGATTTCAAGTTGTTGAGCGGTATGTCTTTCTCTCTCTCTTTTTCTTTTTTTTTTTTTTTTTTTTTCCTTTCCTTAGGAGACTGGGGTGTGGAAGGATAGAGAGAAAGAAAGAAAGAAAGAGCTTATGCTAATGAAGACAACGTCTAGGCGCTGCTGGTCTCGTCTACGGGTACACTCTCGGGATCCCCGTGGTCCTGTTCGGCGCGCTACGATACTTCGGCTCCGAATCCGCCAATTTACTCGAGTGCTGGGCGCTGTACGGGTACTCGAATCTGATTTGGATCCCCGTGGCGCTGATCAGCTGGTCGCCCATCACGATCCTCAACTGGGTTTTCGTGGGTGTCGGGTTCGGTCTCAGCGTCGCTTTCTTGCTGCGCAACTTGTACCCCGTCCTCAGCGCTACCGATCGCCAGACCAGCAAGATTCTGCTTATCCTTGTTGTGGCCCTACATGCCGGCCTTGCGATCGCTATCAAGGTCCTGTTCTTTGCCGCCGGAAGCCCTGTTGCGGGAGACAAGCCGGGTGATACGCCGCCTGCGGCTGGAGGGGACAAGCCGGAGGGTAATGCCATGTTCCTTTTCTGAGGAGGCTATGTGTTATGTGTGTCTATTTATACGGGAGCAGAAGAAAGATGTGCCGAAATGGCAAGGTCAAGAATGATACGGGGGACTTGACCTGATATCATGATGGTTTTATGGCGTTGGACAGGTGTTATATGCAATAGTGTTATGTACACTACTTACTACCTCTATGCTAGCTGATACCTTTCTGTTCTAATGTATCATGAGATCAGTTTCACTTTTGACCTTGATTTGATTTATCCTTTTTCTTCTATCTCTCGTCTAGATCTAGAGCTTCAGATAGCTCTTAAGCTCTCGCTTATTTGTTCGCTCTATAGAAGTTGAGGTTAGAAAGGTAGACTCTCAGATAACTAGCCTCTTCTTAACCGCCACCATGTCTTAGGTTAGGTATTTATATTTATATCTTCACGTCTATAATCCTCATCTCACCCCACCCCACCCCACCTCACCTTTCAATCTTCCCCCCCTTCTGCACCCAATCCAGCCAGCTCCCAGGGTACTCGCCGACGTTCTTCCAGCCAGCCTCGCGAGCGATCTGCGCGGCGGCTCGGCTGCGCACGCCGGCCTTGCAGTAGAACACCACCGCCTCGCCGTCGCCGTCGGGCACCGGCCGCTCGAACCCGAACCGGTCGGCGAACTCGTCCGCGGGAATGTGGAAGCTGTCCGGCGCGCTGACGATCGGGATGTTGAGGGCGCCGGGGATGCGGCCGGTCGAGGATAGCTCCGAGGGCTCGCGGGTGTCGATTATGGTGACTTTGGGGGTGGAATTCGGGGTGGATATGGCGGTTTTGAGCTGGGAGGAGGGAGGGAGGGAGTTAGTTGGTGAGATGAGGGTTAGGTCAAGTGAGGGGATCAAGTAAACGCACCTCTTCAAAGTTCCATATCTTACTCCCGCTCCCGGCTGCTGAATCCGAAGACCACCGGACGCTCGTAGGGATGATGCGCCGAAGTAATTGTGGTCGCGCAACCACTCCAGCTGTTCCCCTCGTAGCCTGCGGCGCCAGAGGAGGAGTCGTGCCGAATGAAGCTCGCAGTATATGCGCCGCAGCTGTAGGAATAGTAGCCGAACTCGAGCTCGAGCCCGAACCCGCCAGTCGGGAACTTCCCCCGCGCAGAGCGGTAGTAGCGCCGTTTATCGCAAGTCGTCTTGTCGCCATCGCAGGGATTTTCGCATATAACCTGGTATATATCGCGTGCTGAAAAAGAGATATTTCCAAAGCCTTTCCAATCACGTAGATATATATATACCTGTTATAAAGTAGGTATATAGGTATATAGGTTGACTACCTGTTTGATCGCAATTACTTGCACCACCACGTACAACTGAGCTGGACAATGTGTACAAACAGTTTGCCTTGGGTACATGTGGGATGTGGATATGTAGAAGGTAGAAACAAGTGCTCCTATAATTTAAGTAATTCAACGGTCTAGAATTGCCGAGCTGGCGAGCTTCCAATGTTAGTAACTAGCTCTTGATTAGGTAACTTAATTGCAATTGTGATGTCACAGTTAGGTACCGCATGGTACGCGGGTACTTCTATTATAACACCTGAACACCTGAAGGGCAAGGTCAGGTTACCTATCACCAGTTAACATCATCCTAAAACTGCTCTTGCGATTTAGACCTGAAAGGAATGTTTTAACATTTCATCCCTTTCCCCTTTCTTTCTCTGAGTCTTCTATATTATCGAAGGGCCTTGTCAACCCTCAATTCTTTCTTAGTGTTAGTCATTCTCATCAGACTTCTTGAGCAAACCTACATGTACCTAATGTTATAAACCCCGCTAGGTTCAAGGCAAGATATCATGCTCGTTTAAAAATTAAGGTCTGATTTGGCCGCTATAAACATCTCAACCATCTCAACAGTCGTTGGCATCGACGTCCCCAGCCATAGCTTATATACAAGACCTGTATTACTATTACTATATTCTACTTTCGTTCCTTTCGTTACACGGCCCCTGGCCCTTCTTCAGCTTTTTCATGCTAATGTCATTCTTAATTAAGGACATTACCATTTTCTCTCCTCAAATGTTAGAGGGCAATCATCCTGATAATAATTAGCTTTGAATTATTCCAAGTGGAACATGGAATACGTGGAACATACCTTGGGGAAGATGGTGGCAAACACCTTGATCTCATCTGAGTCAGGCGTTGCGTGGTGTTTCCAGTCGAGCTCAACCGAGGCCTTTCCGATCATAAGGGCCAAGTTGAGTTGAGCATAGTGCTGACCGAGACAGTAGTGAGGTCCCGTTCCGAAAACGAGATAGTTCTTGGCGCCCTTCTCCTCAGCGTCACCGGTATAGTATCGTTCAGGATCGAACTCGTCAGGGTTCTCGTACACTTCGGGATCGCGAAGAGCTACGTATGTAGTTGGGATGATCATGGCACCCTTGGGGACGGTATAGTTCTCGGTAACGGGGAAAGCCTTCTTGGCCTTGTAGGGCACCATGATGACAGGAGGACGCCATCGGAGAAGCTCCCTGACGACTGCGCGAGTGTATGTCATCGACTCAAGCTGATCCAGATTTACAGGGGCATGAATGTCGCCGTTTCGCACGCGGTAGTTCTCCTCACGGACGCGGTCTAGAACATCGGGTCGGTTGGCCAGGACCTGGAACATATTGGTGGCTGCACTCGAGGTAGCGTCTTGGGAAGCGAAGAGGAACGTGAAGAGAGTTCGGGCAATTTCCATATCGCTGAAATCACGCAACAGGGGTGACGGCTTCACCATGCCTTCGGTTGAAAGACCCTTTTCGGTAGCTTCTGTCCATTTCTTGGAGGCAAGAATATCCTTGATCCAAGCATCCATGATGCAGGTGACATCACCACCGGCAGCCATGCGAACCTTTGATTTAGCAGCGCATTTGGCAAGCTCATCCATGACCATAGTCGCAGCTCGCTTGCCGTACCAGGTTCGGGTGTAGGGAATGATGATCGGGAAGTTGACAAGATCGAGAGCAGCGGTAACCAGGTAGTAGTCATCGGCAATCTTCTTGCAGGCAGAGTCGGGCATGTAGTATCCAGCAAAAGTTCGAAGCGAGACGGTACACATGAGCTCACGGAACTCATGCATAAACGGGATGGGCTTTCCTCCAGCCTCTTTCGTCAACCTGAGAAATCTAGCAAAATACGCCTTGTAAACAGCTTCCTGGCCGGGCAAGTAGCTTTCGAGAGCTCGTCGGGTAAAGAGGCCATTCAGGCCTTTGCGATAGTCGACGTGGGCCTTTCCGTCTAGGAATACCCAGCTATCCTCTCCGAGGATTTTCGTGGCAATATCAACAACGCACGGCTTCACGTACGTCGGCGAGTTGAAGACTTTGCGAGATAAGTCGCGAGTGGAAGCGATAACAACGAACCTAGCATTAGGTTAATAAATCTCGATAAGACGTGGTATGGAAAAGGCGCGTACTTGTGGAAGACGGAGACACAGCTCAGGGGGCCGCTGTACCACTTGGCCTTATATTCTTCAAATTTGGGATTGAGAGACTCTAGGAAAGGGCCCATGAACGGCAGCTTGAAGGCCGGTCCAACGATAGAACCCTTTTGTACGAAATAGCTGACTGTTTAGATTTCTGTTAGCCAACGCGGTTCTGTCTATACCGAAACTCGAAACTCGAGAGTATTAATAAGACGTACTCTGGTCGTACGCGACAGCTACGGCAATGAGGGTAAACAACCATGTCATAACGCTCGCATTCGCGATAGTGTTGACCATGTAGTCAACTTGGGGAGGCAAGGGCCCGAGCGGCAAGTCGGCCAAGGGCGACGTGAAACTCGTCGCATTCGCAGCCATGGTGACCGTCAGCAGGAATTGTGCCGGGCTGCTTCTGGTATAGGGTATATTGCGCCGAGATCTTCTGTGTAAGGTAGTCGTGGGAGAAGCGCCCAATATATCCCGAGATCCACCAGAAGAAGGAATGGAAGGGGGAGGAGGTCGAATTAAAGGACGGCGACAACCCTTTCGACACGAGAGAGAGGTTGACCTAAGATCCTAAGATAGAAAAGGTGAAAGGGGTGAAAAAGAGCGAGGTGGTGGTGGATATTTGCAGGAAATCTAAAGAAACCCACTAAAATTTGTTTGACTGGGAATATTTAATTATCGGACAGGAACATTGAACCCTTCTTTTTTTGAAAGGTTCACACCCTTGCAATCGACATTACTCCCGCAATCTTATGCACGGATAGTGCGATATCCGCGCCTTCGGTACTTGTACCTATCTGCCTATTAACTCATGCGAGCCCACCTGCCCACTGCACCTGGAAGTTTTTAAGTTTCCAAGAGAAGCGTCGAAGCGTTCAAGCGTTACATATCGCGATTCAATGGTCATCTCTAAAACGCCATTGCCTTTTGCTGATTGGTTGGCCCAGATCTATACATGCACCTATCTACGCTAGGTACTCGCTCTTACTCGCTCTTACTTCAAGGACGTTACAGAAGCTACGCTACGCTACATGTATCTCTTCCCCTTCTGAATCCCGCATAGAATAGAAAGTACTACAGGTGTGATAAAGCAGGGGCAGTTACATTGATGTACATGCCTAACGCATGCAGTAAGTACCTGTTTTGGTACTCCCAGCGTAGATTAACGCCGTTCGGTCTACGGATTACATATGGTACCCGTTAGGCTGCTTCATGTGGGGGAGCTAGCCGGGGAGCTAACCTTCTTCACTTTGACATTAGCAGACAGGCAGATTAGTGATGGCAGATTAGTGATTTGCTTTTTGCGCAAAAATCCAGTACCTATTACAAAGTATCCACAACAGCGCGTACCTGCGCGCATCTCGACGCTAAACGTACGAGCGATACGAGTATTTTCGTCTTTATTTAATCAAGAGGAACGATGTCGAGTCCGCAACGGACTACCTATCAGATCATTCACATACGTCTACTAGTGTAATATCCAATCTCCATATGGGTTCATTCCACGAACCGTTTTTGTGTTGACAATATGACAAAAATGCCCCCTGTCCTAGGTTAAGGTGATGCAATGCAAGTCACCTCAGACGAGCTACCCTACCCAAGACGGATTTAATTACATTGGAATTGGCCAATCATCCAAGCTAGACGTCACATTCCGCTATTCACCGCTCCTCAATTCCGTGGCCCAAGCTTGCAGCTCGCAGCCAGCTCGAATACGAATACGAAAAGGCCTAAGTTCGGATCGCCAGGATGCGGAGGGAAGGTTAAATTGATGCAGAATTCGTTATGTCGATCATTTGTGTTAGTTAACTATCTAAATAACATATTCATGTACATAACCAGCATGTCATTCCCGTAGGAGCAGCTTCTTATCAGCAACCCAAACTTCCAAGACTCTTTCAACTTCTAAGGGCTGTCACCGGGCGTAGGTAGTATAATAGAACAATCATGACCTCGGCTATAAAATTGATCTACTATTAAAAGGATAAATGCTAACTACACCAAACAAGAAGATTAGAATAGATTCGAGTTCAAAAAAACCAAGGGACGCAATGTCTACTTATATCCGTACTGATTATAGTCTCATGGCTATCAACCCTCGAACAATTCTATAGAGTTTGAGTTTGTTTAGTCTTCGCAGTCCCAAGTTACTCTTATACGAACACTCTCAAATACGCATAGGATTGAAAGAGGCCTTCGAAAAATGAGACGGCCGCATTCCATCCAACAAACAGTCTTAGCCTTTAGGTATAATACATAACAAAACCTAAAGTCCAAAAGGCAACTTTCTAAACGTACCTATGTATTTAGCTTAGAAATACTTTATACGCAATAAAATTATATTGACCGTCCCCTAAATACGCTATAGTTGCGACAAGTCCAAATATCAATCCTAGCTAGAGCATTCTCTGAGCAAAACATGTAGGGATATCTTAGTTACTCGTTATTCTCAGATCGTTCCTCTCGTCTGATCACCCATCTTTGTCAAGTTATTCGAAACTAGAGCCTCATTTTCAAGTGCCTATTCTGCTAAGCTCTCATCAACAACATGAGCACATATACATGGCCTAGTAGGTACGTGACGATACTACACTGGTCGGCGTTATCAGATATATAGTGTATATAACTTGGCAAGCGTAGCCTACATTTCGATACTATCCAAAGTATTAGAATGGTTCATGTTGGCTACAGTTAACTACCTCCTATACAGGAAAGAACTCTTCATGTGTGGGGTATCTAAACAATATAACATTTACTATTATTCGACCTAAAAATACCTAGGTAATGGCTTACATATTCCACGTGTTATCAAGTAGGTATATAATTTAGGTGTACGAATTATAACATTATAATCAAAGCTTGGACTTATTAGTATCGCTCGCTCTCTCTATCAATGGAAATTCAGTCTAACACGCTTCTTTAGCTAGCAAGTGGCTTTAAAGGCTATTTCGTTTCTATACTTCACAGTGGCCATCTCGTATAGAGTGGATAGACAGTACGATAGGCAAGGGAAAGTAAAGGGTTATTCGAGTATAGGAAGCTTCTACGTTGCATCGTCAACAAGCGCAGCCAACGAGTTTCCTATAAAGCGTAGGTACTGTAAGGTGGAGAGAAAAGAAACAAAACAAAAACAAAAACAAACAGCCCGTGTAAGAAGGGATGTGTAATGCTGCGTGAAGGCATCGTGACGGTGGTTCGAATGTCGTCAGTGCTATGCGTATTCTGCATATCCTAGCGAGGAACCCCTTCTAGATGATATCTGACCTACTTATCCCAAAATAGAAGCTTTACAGACTCAGACGCGAATACTATGTAGGTAATCGTTCCCTATTTACCCGGCAACTCTAGATTCTGTTGTACCTAAGAAAATAGCTCTAGGAAGGCTATTAGCGAAATGCATGCATGCATGCATAAATGTGCGAGTGAGTCAGGGCAGAAACTGACGTTGCGTGCCGAAAGACTACATATCTTAATACCTAAACTAATGCATGTGAATGTTACCTCTATCTAGTCTTAATGAGGCTGAGCTGACGATACTGACTCACGTATGCCCCGGTCGAAAGCCAGGCAGCATTTATATCTTCTTCGGAAGAAGATTACCTACGAGAAATTTCTATACGTAGTGTAAGACAGCAAGGTTTCAATGCTTGCTAATTTTTTCTGGCCCTGCGGCTTTGATAACTACCTGTCTTTGATGATACGCTGAATGATGTTGGGGGCTGTCTTGTATGGGGCTCGGTGTTCGGATATGTACTCGAATAGGACAAGTTAAGTTTCTAGAACAGACTCGCCCATGAAATAAGTATACATGAGGTCTATTTACGTGCTTATAGTATTATATGCTTTGCTAAGAGTACAGATACTATTTCTTGGCAGAGCTCGTTTCCCATGTCTTTATTGCGTAGTGAGATATCGTCAGCACTTAAGGTCTAATAGATCGAGGTGACGAATTCTCGGAGTATAGTCGCTGGCATCATTACCTAGTGTATGTAACCGACACGACTATCATTATCTTATCCTGGTATTCAATGGTCTTAGCTTTGACTCACACGGGATAATATGTATGCCTAATAGATAGGTGTTGACTAGTATTCGAAACTAACTTGCCCTGTTACAATGCGAGATACATTGCCCAAAGCGGCAGTATGCCGCGATGTAATAGAGGGTGTGACTACATACCTATGTACATATCTAATGGGCATATCGATCGTGTAGATGTATCCAAGATATATATAATACGTTCCCCGCTCCCTTGCCCAACAACTATATTTCTTGCCTTTTATATATCAGATCATCAAGAAGCAACTGGCACCGGATAGAGCCAACCTTAGGAAAATAAGTAACTTAGTTTTGCGACGGGCTCGGACCTAGACGGCTACCTCTCCTCACTTATCAACCCAACAGAAACATTTACCAAAGTCACAGTCGTTTACTCTGCATAACCCCATCATCCTCAACGGTATACAAGCAAGCCTACGCACAAGACATCATGAGCCAACCACAAGACAAAACCGTCACCGACGTCGAGAAGGCCCAGTCCACTTCCTCCGACACGGCCTCCATATTCTCGACAAGCTCATTCGGCAGCGCCAAAGCTCTGTTCAAGAAGCACACCTCAAGCAAGTCCAGCAAACCCGACGGGTCCAACTCCGGCTCCAGCTCTAGTCCCACACAAGCCGAGTTGAACCGGATCGCGCAGCGGAACCAAGTCAGGATGAACTTCTAAGCCCCCTAGCTCTACTATACGTGGTACACCTTGTTCGTCCTTTCGGGACGGCCGGTTACCGGTTATTTCGGTGACGGAATAAGGGGGTAGATAGGATGTTAGGGCCACGTTCCGGCAAGAAAGCCTGGTATTTTCTGGATTGATGGACGAAGGATAGGACATATGTTTCTTAGAACGGGGAGAATTACCTTGGTATATGCAGTTATGCACAAGCAAGGGCGCAACATGGTAGAAATAGGAAGAAATAAATAAAGGGGTATCTTTTGTTTTGTCTAAATGCCTACTCGTACTATAATAACAACAAATATTGTTCCGGGATCGGGCCTGGTCTCATTAATGTACATTGCCGACAACCTCTTATGACGTGTCTTAGAATGTGTCGTCTAGGATATTTTGATTCATCTTGACCATGGTCGGGCTGTACTCGGACGAATCGTCCGGTGCTGCGCCGGCCGTGATTAGAATATCGTCGACGATCCGCCTGCTTGCCTCTCGTGCTTTTTACACCCGTTAGTATATCTTACAGCTATATAGGCTTCATAAAGAGGTTATAGTAGTAAACGAAGAAAAATTCAACTTACCGGGTGTCTGCATAAGTTTACTCGGCGGCAGCGCAAACTGAATCGTCTTTGGCGGGCTCATCCCACCAAAATCGTCATCGTCATCACTGTCCCAGTTGATCTCATCTGGATCCTTTTTAGCCTTGCCTTTACTCAGCCCCTTATCCCTAGCCTCCGCAAAGATATCTCTCGTCTTCCTTGCCGTACCCGGAGTCTGCACACTGACCCCTGGTGTTCTTGGAGTATCGCTTATAGCTGGGCGGCCTCGTGCTAGCCGTATGGGCGACATGTACAAGTCGCTCCGCAGCTTCGGCATCGCTATCTCGGGCGAGCTCATAGGACTCTCAGCCCACAGTGCCCTACGCGTCCTATCTTCCTCTCCTTCGACGGGCTTGGCGGGGGATCTGCCGCGAAGACCGCGCGATTGTAGCGGCAAGGCAACAGTTTTGTGTGGAGTAGCCTGAAGTCGGTAATTTTTATCGAGGATACGGTGCAGTAATGGATCTTTGTGCTTGCTGACCGCAGACTTGGGTGCTGGTTCTTCTAGCACAGATGAAGAACGCGGCGTCATCGACATATCCGGCAGCCTCGATTGATTGCTTGCCCTCGTGTGGACTGGCAGTTCCAAGCTGTCGTCGTCATCGGCAAGTAAATCGTCCTTAAAGATAGTATCCTCGCCTTTGAGTTCGCGCCGCAGCTTCTCGTAGGGTGACTCAAAGTTGGCAAACTGTGGTTTTTTCATGTGCGGTAGTGATTTCGTAGACGGTGCCCGAGGTGTGCTTCCCGTTATCTCAGCATGGTCAAGGATGGAGTCATCGGGCATATCGTGTTGCTCCTGGTGTTGCTCGGCATAGCCCGACTGCTCGACAGTCATGTCCTCGTCGGCAGTGGCGTCGTTATAGTTAGATGTTGTGTCCTCTAGGGCCGTCTCCTCAGCCGTAGTGGTCTCGCCATCGCCGGCTAAATCTTCGTAACCGGAAAGTGACACGTTGGCGGATGCTTCGAAGAATTGCTTCCAGAACTAAACAATAGAAGGCAGGTAAGTTAATAAGTCAATAAGTGTATAACGAGCTATTTGTAAACCTGCACATACTTTAGACGCTTCCCAAACGGCTTTTGAATGCTCGCCATATTGCTCTACGAGAGGTAGGATGCTGGTAGTGACAATTCGGTGCGCCTTGTTAAAGTTGTGGTCAATTTCTTGTAGCGTTAGGGTAATTGACTGCTCTAATTTCTCCAATTCCTCTGTTAAAGTCAGAGGCCTTGCTGAGGATGGCCCAGGTCGAGACATCTTGTTGACTTGGCATGTGGGAATAAAAAGTTGAAGGATGAAGCTAAGTAAATTGTTATGCGCTGAAGGAAGGGCATAATTTACATGTACCTATGTACTTACTGATTTGAGTAGTGGGGTCCGTGGTTGCGCGTTGGGAACGCGATGCGGGGTTGCTAAGGTACAGGTACCTTTGTACAGTAGGTATTTTATGGATGTACTTAAAGGGGATGACCAATTAAGAGGCTAAAAAGGGGTAAGAAAAAAGATACACATATCAAACATATCAAACCACAATTATCGTGGAATTATATTCATTTGGGGTATCTTATGTTCTTATTTAATTAATTCCTCAAGTGGCCGTAGTAGCCTGACATATCAAGCTTGATCAAGAGTTTATCAATGGTATTCTCCTCCTTGACGTCCTCACCACGTCTTCCGTCATCCGCTATTATATCGTTTGCCGTCGGTTTCCCTTTAAGACCTCCCTTCTCCTGGAGGGCGCGACATACGGTTATAAAAATGTCTACCTTTTTCTTGAAGGCATCATAAAGACTTTTGGGTGACAAGCCCTCAGTTTTGCCTTCATTATTACCTGATGCTTCTAGGCGGGCTATTCCGGAAAACTTCAGAATAATACTAAAAATGTCTTCTAGCAACTTCATAACCGGCTGCTGTCGCTTTCGAAGCAATAATGTATGCATGATGCGATCAAGTAGTCGTTCTTGCTCTTCTCGTAGCTCGTCTGGGCTGAGAATTCGTGCGTCTTGGGGATCAAGGTCTGATTTTGAAAGGTTATTTTCTATATCTGCAAGTCGGTTTTCGAATTGTTTCCACGGCATCTCGATGCCCGTATCAAAGAAGTAAGAGCTGATGCTTGTAACGAAATTATGTGCTTCGAAGCGAAACCGTATTGAAGTATTGCTGATATGGTACCAATTGGATGTCCTTGCAAGAGTATCCCGAAAGAGTTGTTCAACAACATAGAGCATTCGGAGTACTTTAAGCAACAACCTGAATATTTTGTCGTACTTGAGTAGAATTACGGGGGTAAAAATCGGCGAGAGAGGAGCAGGAGGCTTATACAAGAGCCGAAGGAAGTCCAACGCTTCCAACGAGCCGGGGTCTAAGCATTTGTCGACTTCCTCGCTTGAAAGATCTCGTACACCAAAGCTAATATCGCCGGGTAGATCATATTTCCCATCTATCGAAGGAGCCGTCTGAGGTGACGAAGGCAGAAAATTTTCTGCCAGAACCCCCATCAAAGTTAACCGAAGTTCCGAACTGGCCGGAGGCCAAGTATCTCTCCCACTTAAGCGAAGTCCCATTGTACCACCACTTAGAGCAACACCCGTCTGTCGTTCAGCAGTGTCAAGGTTAGGATCAAATAATGCATGGGAAAGGCGACTGCAGAACATGCCGTTCCCAAGTAGATGGAATTGTTTCTGCAGGGATAAATGATCTCGTAGATGATGCGCACTGAAGAGTAGCTTCATGTACTCCCGATTGATAACTCGTGCTTGTGCTGCAACGAGCGGACCGAAAGAATAATATGGTATTAATGACCAATGCGGTGAGAAGTCCGAAATCCCCTGCTCGACAATGGCTGCCGTCTTGAATAAGTCGTCATTAAGCAATCTTGCCAAGTTGTCTTCCCTAGAAATTGTAGTTGGCGGCTTGTCGAGGGCTGCAATAGATGCTAGTAATTGTCCTTCAAGTTCAGTTTCCCCGTGCCCAAAAAACTGCCAAGTGTAATTCCCATTTGGTAAACTATCAGTCGAGCCCGTCAGCTGACATGCAGCACTCCCCCCTGTAGATTGATGCTGTAGACTTTTGGACAGGCTTTGCTCGTAGGCTTTTACGTCTTCTCGAAAACGTTCTATGGATTTCCAATTGAAGTGCCACTGGAGAGGGGGAGGATTGCTCTTGGTGATAAGCTCCATCTGACAGATTGGATGTTCTGGATGATGTGTGCGAAGGAGTCGTAGAGTTTTGCCAGTCTCGAATATAACCAAAGCCACCTCGCTCGGGACAAATGTTGGCATACGCTCTTCGTCAAGCATGTAATCAAGCTCGTCGGTCTCGAATCCCAAATCGTCTACGATCTGAATATTTCCGACTTTGATAAAGCTGTTGCCGGGATCCTCTTTAGTCAATGGTACCCCTCCTTCGGTTCGAACCCCTATCCACTTCTCTGCGAACTGAGTCCAAGGCGTAGAGACACGCGACAGAACTTCACGCATAACTTCGCTTAGGGCTGCATTAGTATGCTCTAGTGATTGAGCTTCCTCGAAGATGAGAGATAATGCCTGCTCATCGGTCTTTGTCTTTGAAACATTCAATATCAAGTTTTTGAAATATGCGAGCACTGTTTGGATGGGTTGGATAAGTGACTTCAGCTGCAGGAGAGACCGTATATGCCTCGCCCTAGCTCCAAGAATCTTTTGAATGGTCATTAGGGTCATATCCACGGCCTTCGCGATAGCCACTCTGACTGCACCCGGCCTCGTCTCATATATGGCTTGTACATAAGTTGAAAGGAAACGAGTTGTGTTTCCACATTCTAGACAACACTGTTGAAGGCCCTGTAAGACTTCTAATGAGTAACCTGAAATTCTCATCTTGTCTAGATTAAGAATGAAACCAGCTTTGTTCTCATCCCATGTGAAAAAGACTGAGCCTCTGCCAAATGCAAGGCCTAGCAAGGCCGTAAGATACGGGCTGGTTTGAATAACATTGCTCTCGGGATCCCCAATATTGAGGGGATCTTCTGTGTGTTTGATTGTAGCGTCATATGTTCCTGGCCCGGCTTCGGTGATAAATAATGGTACCGGCTGAGGAGCATCAGGCACTAAGAAATCGTCCCATGTTTTGTACTCAAATTCAGCTCTTGCTGGTTTGTCCTTTAGAAGCCACGATTCGTCAAACACATCAAGGTCATGTAGATTTGCATCGTGAAGCGTTTCGGGAATGGGAGCGATTTGACAGTCTGTCTCATCAAACCCATTGAGATCTATAGGTGTAAGTGAATCAGGCAGCTTGAAGAATCCATCAACGTCTGCGTTGGCGGGCTTGACGGTAATATGGCCTTCAGCCGACTTATTGGAACCAGGAAGATCAGTGTTGAAGAATTGGCTATCCGACCCTGACGAAAGTGTTAACAACTTTGAAGATAGGTTGTAATCCGGAAATGCGAATACGTCGGCAAAGTCTTCATTCGCCATCTTATTGGCTTAGAGATTATAGAATTCATTTGTGTATTTGGCTGAGAACATTTCCATAAGAGCTATCTGAGATGCTGAGGTACTGGCCGCCGGGATCATGAGATGGTCAAGTAATGGGAAGACGATAGGAATATCATGTACTTAGTACCAAACGCGT